GACTGTGCAAGGTGCCCTCACTATGCCAGTGTGTGAACTAGCAAACTCTAGTCTCTGATGCCTGCCTCTGGCTTTCTAGGAGGATCTAAGCAAAGGGAGAAGCAGAGGAAAGGAAGTAACTGGATTCATAGACGAGATCAGGCTCTAAGGGCTACCAAGAAGACATGCTCCTCTGGGCAAACTGCTTTGTTTGTTTGCTTTTGTTTTTTTTCATTGCAGAGGTGGAAGTTCTTACATAAGGTCTTGTTTGTTGTCCAGTATGAACATATACCACAAGGAAGTGCTTAGAAGGGAGCAGTGACCCTTCTGGGAAGTCATCATAGGAGTTATTTTTCTCTCCAGAGATGAGATATACAAAGGGCCTCAAGATAGGCCTGACACCGATGACCGGGGCTTGCTCCTAGGTGCCTTAGCAGGATGTTGCCCCTGTCCAAGTTTGCCTGAGATGATCAGAAATTGATGTGAGGCAGTGGAGACCTTCCCCAGCAGCAGTTGGGATGTGGCACACATAGGTGCAGCTAGCACTGGGTCCCCCCAGCAAGTGCTCAGCCAAGAAGCACACAGGCTGGCATTTGACCTTTTCTGGAGTCTTCTGCAGAAGATAGATGTGTAAAACTGACTTGCTTAGCAGTAGAATTTTCCCTACCCTGCTGCATTCAGTTGCTGTCTTGGGTTGACTTTTTTTTAGCACGTATACTTGTCATTTGGAAACGAAGTCTCTTTTCATAAGGAAATGGATTCTTGGAGGTAGGGAGAGGAGGGAGCAAGCTGGAATTGCAGACAGGATGGAGCTACAGGCCCACACTGTAGCTTCAGATGGCAAGGAAAGCTTTCACACCCTCAAGAGCTTAAAACCTGGTGAGCTTTCCCTGGTCACTAGGGAAAATAGCAGAGTCCCACAGCCCATTTGTTCCAGGCATGCTGACATTTATGGTTTCTACTGGCAAAGAGAAGATGCCCAGTTTACTGAGTCATGTCAGCTACAGCGTCGGCATCATGCCAGTGTTATACACTTCCTTTTGCATTTGGTCTTATTAGTCAGAAATGGCCCCAAACACTCACACACAGCAGAGCTAGTGTTGTAGGTGTGCAGTCCACATGTACACATTCAGAAATGTGCTGTGTTTAGGTTCATCTGCTGTTTTTGTCTTGAAATTCTTAATAAATTTTGCACATCTTTTAATTTTGCACTGGGCCCTGGGTCAATAGCCCTGTATTCTAGGCATACCCTCTTTTTGTCCTTTGCTTGAAAAACCCCTATCTTCCAATCTCTGCTTCATGTTCCTTCTTTTTTAAATATTATTTATTTATTATTTTTATTTTATGTGTATAAGTGTATTGTCTGCATGTATGACATGTAAGTGCACCCATGTCGTGAGGAGTTCAGAAGAGGGTGTCAGATCTCCTGGAACTGGAGTTAGAATGATTGTTAGCTGCCATGTGGGTGCTGGGACGTGTCGTACAATGCCCACGGAAGTCAGAAGAGGGCATCAGATCCCCTGAAACTGGAGTTGCAGACAGTTGTTAGCTGCCATGTGGGTGCTGGGAACCAAACCTGGGTCCTCTACAAGAGCAGCCAGTGCTTGTAATTGCCAAGCTGTCTCTCCAGCCCCTTCAATATTCCTTCTATAGGAGAACCCTATCAGTTACACCAGCTGTAACAGTGATAAGTATACCAATACATGGCCCATGTGCGTTGACTCTTTATTAAGTGTCCTGTATTGTGTGGCTAAGTGGATTACACTCACTTTTTCATTTCATCCCATCCACAACCCTATGGGGTAGCTATTACTAGTCTTCCCATATGGGCACTGAGAAAACTGACAGATGCTTACAGAGGCTCAGCATCCAGGCATACTAAGTCGGCAGTGAGTACTATACCTGCATCCATGATGATCAGACATCTTCTTCCGTGAACAATATCTCTATAGGTTCACTGCCCTGCTTGTCTGTGCTGCATCTATTGCCTCTAGTACAGTGCTTGACTAGGTACTGTATGGAGAAGGGAGGGAGGAAAGTTGTTCCTTCCTCTATGTCTTTGTTTTCAAGGACTCAGCATTGACCCAGGGCAACACAAGAAGAGAGCATTGAAACAAATGTTCTCAACCACAAAAATGAAAATCACCTCGGGCTTTTTTTCACCATCCTCTATGTACTGTCTTTCAGCAGCTAGGTACGGGGGCACATTGGTGAGGAATGTGCTGACCTCTGCTCTGTCCTTGCAGAGGTTATGGCATATTGAGAGACTAAGTCTTTCGCTTACAGTGTCACACTGTGTGTGCATGTGTTAGGAAGTGCTGCATCTAGAGAGCCTGCATGGAGTATGTAGCTTGACTGGAGAGGTCAAGAAAGACTCCCTAGGAGTAAAAGAAGCTGAGGACAGAAGGTGAGCAGGACTGAGGACGAAAAGGGAGGCAGGGCATTAGTCTGAGTAGACTCTTAGAAGGTGCAAGTATCATCTTTGCTAAGGGTAAGAAGTTAGGAGGCTAGAGACATAGCCAGTAGCAAGATTGGAGGCAGGATAAGGAATATTGTGTTTATGTTAGCAACAATGACATTTTGAGCAGGGGACTGGATGACTTACTGCACTAGTTATTTTCTTAGCGATGTGCTAAAATACCTGCCCAAAACAAGAGAGAAAAGAGTTGTTTTGGCTCACAGTTTTGGAGTGTTCAGTCCATGGCTGCTTGGCCAGAACATGATGGTGGTAGGAGTGTACAGTAGAGCTTCTTCATCTTGTAATGTACTGAACTAGAGGAAAGGACAGGAAAGGTCTAGAGAGAAGAAATGTCCAAGGACCTACCCCCTGACCTACTTCATCTAGCTAGATCCCAAACTTCTTTAAAGTTTCCAGAACTTTCCAAAATAGCCCCACCAGCTGTGAACCAGCTTTTGGAGGAGTACTTCATGTCCAAGTCATAACATTCACCTTTTGTAGAGGTCATTCTTGTGGCAGCACAGATGCATTGATGGGGCAGGAATAGATGCAAGGAGGACTGTGTAGGTAGTTGTACATGCTGCTCCCAAGGTTTTAATCATGGATATGTAAATGGAGATAAATTCCTTTCACAATCAAATGAGCTCATGTGAGGAGGGAGATCACTGGGACATCTTAGAGGGATGCCAGGTGAGGGGGAATTTCTGAGTGGTGCGTGCACTCTTCTTGGCTCTTCCATGCTTTGTAAGGAGATGTGACTGGAGTCAGCACATGGAATTTGGGGGTTTGGGTGGCTGAATGGAAAATCCTCAGGATCATTTTCCTAGGTACAAAATTATAGTATCAATAGTGTGCTACCCTTATAAATTCTGCCAGAAGCTCAGGCGTCCTGAGCCTTTGACATTGACCAACTTTCCCTCCCTCCTTCTTTGTGTGTATGTATAGTGTATGTGTGTATTTGTGTGTGTGTGTGTGTGTGTGTGTGTGTGTGTGTGTGTGTGTGTATGTGCCTGTGAATAGAGGCCAGAAATTGATGTCAGATGTCCTCTTCTATCATTCTCCATCTTATTTTTGGAGACAGAGTCTCTCAGTGAACCAACACTCCCTGATTAGATAGACTGGCTGGCCAGAAAGCTCTAGGGATCCAACTGTCTCTCCACCCTCCACCAGCACTAGAATTACAGATGTGCACTGTCACACCTGGCTTTTTACATAAGTTCTGGGTATCTAAACTTATGTCCTCAAGCTTGTATGGTAGGCACTTTACCAACTGAACCGTCTTCCTACCACAAAGTATGTCAAGTCAACCTCAAGTGAATAGTTTCCTTTTTTTTCTGGCAGTATTAGAGATTGAATATGGGGGTTCATGCATGCTAGGCAAGTAGCCCACCACTGAGCTATGTCTCCAGCCCTGCAACCAGCTTTCTTGATGAATATTGTTCATCTGCAGGTAGACAGAAACATGGGAGCCTGTGCATGTGACATTCGAGGAGTGCACTACCCTTCCAGGATTGGCATGGGAAACCATAGTCACTGATAGGTCAAATCCTAATTGGGCCAGCCCAAAGTAACAGCCCCTAAGACTCCTCCAGAACAAGGAGTCAGATGGTTACTCTTAAAGACAGTTAAAGACAAAATCCCAGGCTCCTCTCCTCTTGAGGACAGGTGGGATGTTATGGAAGAGAGCTCTGTCCCATGAGGAAGGGTCCGAGAGCTGCCTTCAACTTGCTTTTTTATTGCCTGGCTTTGTTCCCTTGGGCCACTTCCACCTCTCAGCATGAATTCCTTCAACTACAAATTAAAAGATCTACACTAAATAATTTCTTCCAGTGCCAAAGTTCTAGAGTTCTTTATTCAGAAACTCTAAGTGGGATGGAGTAGTATATTTGTTATTCTTCATGTCACTGTGACAAAATTCTCTTCAGAAGCAACTGAAAAGAGGAAGGGGTTTATTTTGGCTCACAGTTCCAGAGGGTTCCATCCAACATGATGGGAACAGCAAGACAGGGCCACTCAGATCATGGCAGTTGGATTGTGGGGCAGAGGCTGTTCACATCACAGCAGACCAGGAAGCAGAGAATGAGACAGGAAGTAGGCAGAGATAACATATGCCCAAGGACCGCCCACACACACACCTTCCTCCAGCTAGGCACCACCTCCCAAAGTTTCCAGAATCTCCCAAAATAGTGCCACCAGATGGGGACCAAACCTTCCAAACATAAGTGGTGAGGGCTTTTCTATTTCAAACCATAACAGGTGGCTTTCAAGTAACTAAGACATATAATTCTTATCAAAACAGTCCAGCTCTCATTATTATGGCTGAGAGAGAAAGGGGCAGAGGCCTTGGGTTACAGTGCCTGCCAGTGGATCTTTGTCTGTATTGAATTCCACAATCTTTGAGGATTTTTCCCCTCATTAATTATCAACCATGTGACTGTTCTTACCTAAAAATAGAAATAAATGTATTTTCCATGCACCATTAGTTTCTCCTTTCAAATGTTTCTTTTGAAGCTGGTAAGATGTCTTATTTTTAAAAATTGTTTTCTTTCACCCCCATTTATAGGTATAAAGGATTTAAGGGCAACTGTTCCATGACCTTCATTGATCAGTTTAAAGCACTTCACCAGTGTAACAAGTATTGTAAAATGCTGGGGCTAAAATCGCTTCAAAACAACAGCCAGAAGCCAAAGAAGCCAGGCATCGGGAAAGGCAGAGTTCAAGCAAACCCCACACCTGTGAAGACGCTGGAGTCTGGGATCCCAGCAGAAAAGAAAGCCCAGCATCTCATCCCTAAGTAACCAGCAACTGCCAGCTAGCCCCAGGGCCTGTGAGCAGACATCTGCAGATACACAAGGAACAAGAACCCACAGTCTGCACAGTGTGTGACAGCCCTTCCTCCCAACCCTCTGGGCCCTGAGGCTTCCATGTTGTCACTTGCTGTCTGCTGAAATGACTTTAGAATGGGACTTTGTGACCAGTTGTGGAGAGATTCATGAGTTTTTTTGTCAGCCTCAAAGATAGTCCACACTTAGCCTTTCTACCCACCTCATGTTGTGTGTCCATTTGTGTATTTGCATGTGGTTTGTTGTCAAGAACTTGATGATGCCTGGGGTCTGGTCACTGTCAAAGCCCTTCCCACTCCCACGCCTCACCTCAGGGTTTCTGGACATTTCCATTCTCAGTGTGAACAGAAATCATGAATGTCAAGTTGTTGCATGAGTGTCACGTTTGCTATTGTTGCTTGAAGTGGCTTCTGAAGCGTGAAGTCACCTCCCAGCATTATTTACTCAGCCAGTCACAATGTTCAGTTTCATTAAATTCACATTTAAGGAAAAAGTGTATGGTACATGTCATCATAGATGCTTGTTTGTTAGAATTTATGCTTTATTTCACATTCCTCCTAGATTTTTTAATTTAGAAATTTCCTAATATGTTTACTGGCACACACGACATCTTCATCTATGTTTTCTCCCATTCTTACAACTGAGGTTTGATTACTTTGTACTTTGTTCCGAAATGTGTTCTCCTGGGGATGGAGAGATGGCTCAGCAATAAAGGGCGTTTGCTGCTCTTGCAAAGGACCCAGATTTGGTTCCCAGCACTCACATGGTAGCTCATAACTGCCTGTAACTGCAGTTCCAGGGGACCCAGTGCTTTCTTCTGGTATTTGCAGGCATTGCATACACACAGTACACATATATACATGCAGGCAAAACACTCATACACATAAAATACAAATAAGTGCATTTTAAATGTGGTCTCCCAAGGTGCTAGTCCTAGGCTGGGTGTCCCAGTTCTCATGGATCCTGCCCTCTTAGGCTCTGCATTGGCAGACCCCACATGGGTCTCCTTCAGGTTAGGCATCCTTCCCTATGACATTCTGGGAAGGGCAGAAGCAATGTAGGTGGAAGTGTGTGCAACCCTCTCTCGGAGGGGAAGTTGGCCTTCAGTAGGAACCTTTGGCTTTTTCAGTTTCAAAATACTATTCTCAGCTAGGCCTGGTAGCATAGACCCATAACCCAGCTACTGAAGAGACTAAAGCAGGAGGATAGAAAGTTCAAGGCCAGCATGAACAACTTAAACTCTGTCTCAAAAAAAGAAGGTAAAATAGATTTAAGAAGGGCTGGAGATACGACTCAGTGGTTGAGTGACTAGTATAAGGCCTTGGGTTCAATCTTAATACTGGAAAACA